ATATTGTCCTTTCCTTCAGTGTTGTTTCATTATAATGTTGATGAGGAAAACAAAATTGATTCTCAGCCTGGGCCCTGTCAGTGTGGAGTGGGCATGTTCTCCATGTCTATGTGTGTTTTATCGCAGGACTTCCTCCCACATCCCATAGATGTGTCCCTGAAGCGAATTGGCGCATGTACATGGTCCCAGTTTGAGTGAGGGTGAGCCCTGGGATGGAAGGGCATCCTGTACAGGGTGGTGCCTGCCGTGTGCCCTGTGCCCTGAGCTGTCAGGATAGGCTGGGGCCACCCATGACCCTGAACTGGAATAAGTGGGTCGGAAAATCACTATTCTGCTTGTTTTTATTCATCTTTCTTAAATATATGTGTAGCTCACATTAATTTCAGTATTTAATATTAGAAGTGTTTGGGGTCTTTATTTTTATTTATTATTTTTTTAAAGAATAGTTTCTTGATTTTTAGAGAGAGAGAGGAATGGAGAGGGAGAGAGAGGAATGGAGAGGGAGAGAGAGAAACATCGATTCCTGAGCATAGCATCACCCCTCGTCCCCCACCAGGAATTGAGCCACAACCCAATCAGGAATCCAACCGGCAACCTTTCGGTGCGCTGGACAGTGCGCAACCGACTGAGCCACACAGGCCAGGGCTGTTCTGGGTCTTTATTTAGAAGTTTGGTGATGTTTTCTGACCAGAAATAGGCTGTAGGAACTCAACTCTTGTTTATGTCAATTAGCCTACGATCAAATTGCTTTTGTTATACGTCATTTTGATTAAAGTCCAAGCTTCCAAGAGCCCACTGGCAAAGTCAAGTGAGGACTTACTGTAATTGCTATAAATATTCAATTGCATAATATTTAGCACACATTTAGAAATATTCTAAAAGGTAGTTTTTGCCTAGGTACCAATATGACTCTCAAAACGATCAACAGAAAATATTTTAAGGCATATCTGCCCGAAAGAATTTAACGAAAGAATCTAAATCAAAAATTTTGTTTGACTTGTGTGAAGGACAAACTATTGTTTGTGGTAGAACATTGGAACCCAGGTATTTATTGTCAGAGACTAAACCAGAGTTTTAACAAGCCTGGGACAAGCAGCCTGAAAAATATTTCCAATCGATTTTGTGATTCATGATGTTGTGTAATAAGAGTGATATGGTTTACTAACTCTAGGTATAAAACAACATTTTTCTGTAGGCTGAAAGAGTTCTTGACATGTATCAAAGTAAATAACACTTTAAATATTGCATGATTTTAAGAAATTACTTTAAAAATCTTTATATACTTTAAATTTTGTCACCGTAAGTCAGAGTCTACTCAAACCCCCTTAAGCAAGGTCCCCTAGGTCCCCCAGACCAAAGCTGCACTGTCTTCTCTATATATTATTGCATTTGCTTTGCTAGTATTTTGCTTAGAATTTTTACACTTATATTTATAAATAAAATGGGTTGGCAACTTTCCTGTCTGAAATTTTTCTTATCTGGTTTTGTTATTAATGTTATATTGGCTTCATAGAATAACTTGGGGAGGCCTTTTTTTGTCTATTTTTTAAAATAGTTTAAGATTTGAATGATCTATTCTTTGAAAATTTGGTAGTATTCAGTAATAGACTCTGGTTCTTGTCTTTTCTTTGTAGGAAGAATATTAACCAGTGTTTCCATTTCTTTGCAAGTTATAGGACTAGCCACGCTTCCCATTTCTACTTAGGTCAGTTTATTTTTTTCTAGGAATTTGTGCATTTCATCTAAGTCTTCAAATTTATTATCATAAATCCGTCATAATAAAGTATTGTTTTATTATCTTTTAAATCTCTCACGTGTCTGTTAATTCCTCTTCTATGTAGATTATTGATTTTCTGTTCCCTTATTTTATTTCATCAAACACTCCAGAGGTTGTCTATTTTTTTTAAACAACCTATCCCTATCTTTAGATATTTCCCTTATGATAGATGTAGAATATTTTGAAAATTCAAATCCTGATATAATCATTACAGAGTATGTTTATTAATTTAATCCCTCCTAATATCTGTAGATTTTCCCAATATCAATAGCAGCTCATTACTCATTAGCCACAATAATCTAGCCTATGTCTCCATGTCACTTGAACCAGTTGTATAGTGACAGCTGTGATGATTAGATTTATTAGATTAGCTACTAGATTTAGAACATGAGAGATCAAATTCCAGGTCTGCTTCTTACTTAAGGTAAGATATTTAAACTCTCTGAACTTCAATTTGCCACCCTTTTTATTATTAAATTTTCTTATGGGTTTATTATAAGAAGTTGTATCTGCATCTGATGCTCACCAGCATCCCCTCCTTACCTCTTTAAAAAGCAAAACAGACAACAAAAACTAGCCCCTCTCTCAACTGTTCAGACTCAGCTGAAGCCTCTGGAGGTTTAGAGGAAAATCTTGTGAAGTGTTATTCTCCTGGCTCTGAGAGTCGGATCCAAAAACTTGCTTGGGCTTCTCCTCTGTCATCCTGACCTCTTTCTCCTAGTTCTTGGCAGTGACTCTCCCCAAAGAGCTGTAGGCAAGGCCATGATAAGTTTGGCCTTTAGGAGAAAATCCAGTACATCTGGCGAGTCCAGTAGGCATAGTTCTGTCCAGCAAGATGTGGTTGTGTGTGCATGTGTGTGGAGGGAGGGAGGAGAATTTGAGGGGGGAAGTTGTTAGGCTGTTACCCTGGGTCATGGAAGTCATAGCAGATAAATGCGACACTCCTACAGGACTTTCAGCTCGTGGGTAGTTCAGAGGGGATGGCAATAAGCAGGAAATGAGATCGTGCACATGGAAGTGTTTCCAACTATAAAGCATTTTCAGAATAGCAGGTATTCATAACATTGTTGAGCTTGATGGTCTCTTGTGTTGCAAAGTCCCCTTTACCATCTCCTGTACCTTCAGATGCCTCTATGATAGCTTTGGGTCTGCAGCATATCTGGTCTGGGGTGGGGGTGGGGGGAATCAAGGTCTCAGACAGACCTGCCCTTGGTAATGATATTTTGTTGACTTAATGTGGTATCCTTTAAAGAAGCTTCATGTCTCAGGGCTTCTGCCACTGAAAAGTAACTGCAAATTTACGGAGCCCCAAGTTTGATTTGCAGGATGTTATTATCAAGCTACACCTGGAAGAACAGGTTTATTTTACAGAGATACCTGTGAGGAGGAAGTCGGAGCAGCACGTCCTGCCTTTGACCTGAAATCCTACTCACAATGGTCTTCTGTCTGGGAAGGAGGGTGTGAGAATTCAGACGTCCTTTCTGCCCGTTACTCACTTCCTGTCTTCAGATGTTAGCGTATAGCTGTTAAAATAGTTACTGTATTTTCCCAAGGAAGAGAAATTATGATTCTTTGTGCTGAGGAGGAGCCTGCTGGCAAATTGTTGAGGGATAGAGTCCGAAAACATCACCAGTCCATGCCCTCTCAGCACTTACTATTATCCAATGAATACTTTAGACTGTGTGTGTGTGTGTGTGTGTATGTATTGGATTATGTTCTATGGCAACTCCCTTTTTTCCCTGGCAGGTTAGAAAACCTGCAGAAGCAGGAAACTGAATGTCCAATTGATTATTCCCCCTGTGACGTCCAGTTCCACAAAGTACACGGAGTGTGGCTTAATTTATGTGCAGTGAATGAATGAGTGGAGGGATACTTTTAAGCACGTATGATTTTGATAGAGTCAGAAAAGAGATCGGTATCATTGCAATCCATTTTCCTCATTTACATTTCATAACAATAACAGCAACAACATAACAGTAATGGTGAAATCTGAGTGTCAAGTATATGCCAGGAACTGTTCTAAGGGGCTTTGTATTATTTTTAAAGATTGTTTAATCCTCATAACAATCCTATGAGATAGGACTTGCTTATCATCTGAGGAAACAGATACAGAGAGGTTCCACAGCTTGTAAGTGGAAGATTTGCCATTTGTTTATTTTTATTTTTTATTTTTCAATTACAGTTGGCATGCATTATTATATTAGTTTCCGGTGCACAACATAGTGTAAGTGGAAGAGTTGGGATTCAAACCCATATCCTCTGACTCTGGAGCTCATTTACTAAATGAATCCATTGTATTACCTCTCTCAAGAAGGCACTGTTTGCCTCATTTTATAGATGAGCATTCTAAGACTCAGCTTAACAAACTGCCCCATTGTCACCTAATAAGTAGCTAATAAACATATAGCAATAAAGAAATGTACAGCGTGCTTCGCTGTGGTATGCCACCGTGACCTGCTCACTGTGTTGGAGTCTGGGTTAGGCATCTTCAGCAACCATATTCCAGAGGGAACATAGAATTCGACAACTTGGAGGGTATTTAAAAACAATCTGTTCTTTCACAGAGTAGAAGAGTCCTTTCTGCACCATGGCTGGGAGATACCTCATCCAGTCTCTGCTTGAATGTCATAGCAATAGCGAACTCACTGCCTCACAGCGTTTTCTTTTATTGAACTCAAATATTCCCCAACAATTTGACAGCTCTTCCAAAGAAAGGACAAGTAACTTGAGTACATCTTCTCAACTGGTAGGCTTACTTTCATATTTGTCAGGTGTCTCTAGAGTTTGGGAAAAAGTCAGAAGACCCATCTGCCTAAGGCCTAAGAATTCAGCACACATTTTGACAGGGCTATTTGTTGGTGGTGACACAACCAGTAAGATGAGATAAGAAATATTCTTTTTTTAAAAAAATGTTGTCAGAAGAGGCGGCTTCCCAAAGAAGCACAGTGTTTGAAAGGTAGGGACCTTATTTCCCTCTCTTGACAGGTGAGGAAAGTGAGGTCTGGGTGGTGAAGTGACTTGCCCAGGGCTGGAGAGCTAGTTAGCAGCAGGCTGGAGCTGTGAGCCAGGTCCCCAGCTCCCAGGGCCAATTCTCTTTCCACCTCCCCACTCAGCCTCCTGAAGGATTAGCGGTAGCTTCTGAGAAGCTGATATTACCACTTTCATCATTTCTTGGTCTTTTTGGAAATACCAATGATCTCCCTCTGCATCTTTCCTTTCCAAGATGACGTAGGAAATTTGGTCACCGAGCTGTCTCCCCAGCTTGAAAGTTTCACCAAAGGTCCAAATACTCAGGCGTCTTGCCTCCAGCTTTTCCCTTAATCACATTAGGAAATATACATTTTGTGTTCACATCCCGTACAGTAACGAAATATTTCTTTTCCTTCCTGTGATTTGGAAATCCCCTTTCTTGTTATTTTTAAGAGACCTTGCATATATCAGAGGGACTTGCTGGCTCCTCAGAAACCAGCCTGGTAGGAGAGTTGATTGGATTTGCCCAACGCATTTCCTCATTAGTAGCTTGTGTGTGCTTTTCCTTTCAAATGTCACCTGGCTGCCCCTACAAAGATCTGATTGCTGTCACGTGGGGGTCTCTGCAAACTTGGGCCTCACTGAATGTTCTTTTGAAGACTTCCCAACTGCCTGTCCTTGGGATGAGATACTGGAAACACTGAAAGTGGCTTGGTGTATTATTGGTCTGAAGACCACTTCTTACTGCTCTCCTCCCCTTTCTTTTACAACTGAAGACTGGAATTTTAATTGCTCAACCACAGTTTTTAATTCATGATGCCCAGAAAGGGCATGGGTTATTAATTAGTTCGGATTATGAGGCGCCTTGAACTCGGGCCTGGCTGCTTCTTGATCGGTTTCAGCCACTCTTTGCCTGGCATGGCTGTGTATGCACATGGAGGTGTAATTATGCAGACACTAGTTGTTCAGTTCTGCCAGGTTAAGCCCTCTATTATGAATACATATTACAGTGTCTTAAAAGGAATTTATTGAAATGCCATAGTTTAATAGTTCAAGCTTACAAAATCAGGCTCTCTTATATGACTGGCAATAGCCTCTTAATTGGATGTTTCCTCCCAGTACATAAAACATAAAAACATTGGCTTAAATACACACAGACACACACAAATAATTTTTTTTAAGTGTGAGAAAGTTTTTCTTCATGGTTAAAAGTAGGACTCTGGAGCCAGGTTGACTGGATTTGACTCATGTGTCTGCTACTTTCTGGCTCTGTGACTTGGACATGTGATTTCGCCCCTTTCTTATTGCAGTATTTTTGGTAAAATGTGGATGATTGCAGCGTCTCTATCCTGGGGTGGTTCCGAGGTTCAAGTGAGTAAACAAAGTTCATGGAACCCAGTCACTGTGCTTTTTACTGATTGCTCCAATGTATTTACTTGTATTCATGTGTTATAAAATCTACTGTGTTAAGCTGAAGGAATTAGGGATGTCTCCCTGTGGCAAAAACTGAGAGTTGTCCCCTAATATCTATTCTCTTCTTTTACAGTAATAATGTCCCTTCCCCACCAGTTTTAAACCAGTTTGGCAGAGGGTTGTCCAGAGTTTAGAGTAAACTTATTTTCCACCTAGAAGTAGCCATGTGACTACATTCTGGCCAGTGGGTTAGAAGCAGATACAGTGTGCCAACTTCTGTAAAATGGGCTTACGGAAGAAGGATTGTATGTCCTTCATTTCTTCCTTCCGTCTACTGATGAGAGTTTGGTCGTGATGGCTGGAACTCAAGCAGCCCTGTTGGATCATCAGATGGCATGCTAGGGTGCAGAGCATGAAGGGAGCAGAAATCTGAGGCCCTGACAACTTCAGAGAGTAGAGCTACCCTAGCAGCCCTTTTCTTTTACTGTAGGCTTTTGGTAAAAGAAACAAAAACCTCTAGATTATTTAATACAGTGTAATTCAGGGAACCTATTGCAATCAAATCTAGTCTTAGGTAACACCTTACCCTCCTTGAATTAGATCACACTCTTAGTATTTTGATATTCTATTTGATTATTTTACCAATCTGTGAGGTAACTTTAAAAAACAATCTTGCCCAGCTGGGCATGGCTCAGAGGTTGAGTGTTGACCTAGGATCCAGGCGTTCGATTCCCGGTCAGGGCACATGCCTGGGCTGTGGGCTCGATCAATGACTCTCTCATCATTGATGTTTCTGTCTCTCTCTCTTCCTCTCTCTGAAATCAATAAAGATATAAAAAAAAAAAAAAAAAATCTCTAGGAGATTCTCTCAAGCTCCCATTTGTTTCTTCACACATAATAAATATATTTGTCACCCTGTAGTCTGTGTGGGACTGCCACTGCTCTCAGTTATTTTCACTAATTCTCATTCATGGAACCTTGTTTCCTTGTGTGCAATATTTTCTTCGATTTTATGCTGCTCATTGCCCTTGAAAATGATTCATAGGGACTCTTTGAAGCTAGGATGAAATTGCCTTCCCCCAGAAAGGGTTTGCATTTGATTCTGCTAGGCCCGTAGACTTGTCCATCATGGCACCTCCTAAGATCAAGTTCAAGATTTAATGCAAGAAGTCATATCAGCTCCTCTCTTCCCTTCCGCCTTGTCTAGGCTCAAGCTTCTTTTAATCTGAGACCATTTATTATCATGTCTCATGCTATTACAGGATTTTTGCCATTACAAAATAAGTGTTCTGTGTATTTCTATGGATAAATGTTCTTAGCACTATTAACTTGAAAAGCCTGTTGTTGTTTCTCCACAGAAAAATGATAACATGGACAGTGACTGTAGCTACCAGAGTCCCTGTGCTATATTTAATAACTGTGTGTCTTGTAGCCTAAGTTATGTATGCTTTATAATTCTCTGCCCACTTGTTTTTCAGCCTCTTAACCAGAATGCAACCTGTAGTCAGAATAGATAGAAGTTGTTCTAGTTGAAAAAAGCTGAAAGTAATTCTCACGTTCAGGTCATCATACTAGCAAGTTCTAAACACCACGATGGTATATAATTTAAATAACAGGGTGACTACTATGAGAGGAACAGAAGTTCTGAATGTCGTTCAGAGTTTAAGAGGTTCAGTATTAAGAGCTTGTCTATTGCAAGTTTCAAAACTGCAATCATTTCCTAGACATTCAGCCCCGATGTACTTAAAAGAGCTTCTTGTCTTTTTTTTTTGCTTGCAGTGAAGTACATGAGAGAAGCCACACCCTATGTGAAGAAAGGTTCCCCAGTGTCCGAGATTGGGTGGGAAACGCCGCCGCCCGAGTCCCCTCGCTTGGGGAGTGGCTCCTCGGACCCCCTGGCCTCGGCTTCGCCCTCGCAGCCCTTCTCCTTCCACAGAGATCGGAAGAGCATCCCCCTGAGGATGTGCTACGTCACTCGGAGCATGGCCCTGGCTGACCCTGAGAACAGGTAAGGGGAACCGGAGCTCTCCGTCCCAGTGGCTTTTCGGCCTCTGAGGTTTCGTGGGGCTCTTGCCGGGGCTGCGCTCGTGTTCTGAAACTGCTCAGTGGGCTCCAAAGAGCACCCCAAAAAGGCAGTGCTGATGCCATGTGTGTGTCCAGCCAGGTCTCCCCCCATCGTCCACCCTTCCTCCTTCATTCTTTCATCCTCATGAAGACCTGGCCCCTGAGTTCTGGTTCTGGAAAGAGGTGGAGAGCTGGAGTCGGATTCCTAAGTGTCTTCCCTGGGTCTGCCACAGTCAGTTTATGGAACTGTGGGCAAGTTTCCCAAACCACTAAATCCCCATTTGTCACCTATAAAATGGGAATGACTGAGATGCACACCTCATGGGGCTGTGGGGATTAGAGGAGGGAATCTCCGGGAAGTGCTTAGCTCGGGAAAGCCTTCCATGAATATAAGCTATAATAATATTGGTTACTGATGCCAGGTGGTAAGAAGCAAACCGGCCTCCCTGGGCCTCGGTGCCCTCAACTACGTATTTGGAGACCCAGGCAGAGGATACGTAAAGCTATTTTTTTACTCGAAACCTCTTTTTGTGCTCTAGAGAGAAAGGGGCGGCTCCCGTCCAAGCCCGGGGTGCTTTTTCCAAAGTCTGTACGTGACTTTTCAGGCCACAGGACAGATATGTCACCCAGTCCCTGGCAATTATAAGGAGTCCAGCCAAGATCAGCAAATATTTGGTGTCCCTGTTCCCTCAAAAGTCTTCTTTTAACTCATCTGAACGGAAAACATGTATCTTGGAGGAAAATAAGAGATACGTAGAAGAGAGAGAAGGGAAGTGAGCCAGCCAGTGGGGAAACTTGGTGACCTCTGCATCCACATTCAGATGCTAAAAATAGGGACAGCCACTGGCCCTTCTTTCTAACATGTGCTGAACAGCTGTGGCCCACCCGAGCCGGGGGTATTCGGCGAGGCGCGGGGCTGGTGGGGAAGAGCCAAAGGAAACAGGGGCAGGGCCGAGGCTGCCTCCTTGGCTCCTGCCCGAGCTGGTTCTGTTCTCAGCTAATAAGCTGGCTCCAAGGAAGGTGCAAGCCTTTCTGACTGCAGCCAGCCGCAGGGCTCCCCGGCGGTCCCCACCGGTCCTATGTCAGTTACATCTCCGCAGGGGTCAGAGGTCAGCGCTTGTGTGAGAGCCAGCGGGTATCAGCAAAAGATAAGTCAGGCCCGCAGGCTGGGAAGGAGGCGGAGTTCTTAGATAACCCCCCTCCATCTGTCCTCTGGTCTGTATCCCCTCAGTTTCTGCCACTTTCCTGAGCAGAGGAGTCCTGTCCTGGTTCCTCTTGAGTTTCCTCCTCCCTGGCCTCTTACCCACCCGATCAAGCATGTCCTTTCCCCAAGAGCCTGATGTCTAAGGTTTCAGATCTGATGAATTCATAATTTATCAAGTGCCTGTCTTGTGCTGGGCATTATGCTGATTACTTCAGATCAGAGACGGCAAAGTGGCAGCCTACAGGTGTACCCAGCCCACAGATATGTTTTTTTAATGATCTATCTAGTGTTTTAAAGAAATTTGAATTAATGCCCACGTTGAATAGTTGATTAAGAAGCCAGGTTTCTGCTTTTCTAGAAAAATCAGAAAATCTGGTAGGATTACGCCCACGTGCCTGCAGGTAGGGCTGCAATCACACACGTCCCGTAAAGGCTTCTCCTTTGGCAAGGAAATGAACTCTCTTCTTCACTCCTATTGCCTTATCCTTAGGTGACTTGCCTGGTCCTGTACATTTCCTGCCTACTCCTTGAATTTGTAACCTTGCTTAGTCTCCTTAACAGCCCTCTGAGTTTCTATCATTGTCCCCATTCTATAGATAAAAAACTGAGACTCAGTGCTTATATACATTCCAAACATCCTGTAGCTAACGTATGGGATAGCTGGGCTTCAAACTGCCTCTGGAATGGGTAACAGTATCAGTTTACCATTACCAGAAAAACGCAGAGACTGGAAAACTTGGGGTATTGTGGAAGTGATTAATGAATGCACTGGGCAGAGAGTTCAAGTAAATGATTTCTAGGGTTCCTTCCCGCTGCAGACTTATATAACATTTTCCCCAAGGCATTTAATTATATTTTAAAGAATATTTTGGGATCCATCATGTCATGTCTTAGTTCAAATACTGGAAACTTTATTCTGTCAAGCCAGTGGAGGGAATACATTTTTAAACTTTTCTATCGGTGCTCATCAAGTCCACCAGTAATGAGGGCACATAGGGCCTCCTGGGTGGTGAGGGGGAGCCTGTCCTGCTACGGGGTGAGAACCATCAGGGCAGGACTGAAATGACAATGCCACTAAGCTAGAGGGTCCAGGACGGGACTTCAGTCCAGACAGAGCCGAAAACTTCTGATAATAAAATTAACCTTTTCCAAAATATACGTATATCAAATTACCACGATGTACACTTTAAATATCTTACAGTTTTGTCAATTATACCTAATGAAACAGAAAAAAAAAAACATATTAGAGACTTAGGTGAGCCTTGACTCCAGTTGAGGGAGAGAAGAAAAACAGAAAACAAAAATTTTATGGAACTCCAGCTACACACTGGGCAGCGTATAACGGACCAGTCAGAAATGTGGATTCTGCTGCATACAAGACACACCTAACCCAAGGCGACTTTAAAAGGCAAAAAATATAGGGATGGACAAAGCATCCATGGAAAATGCAAACAGCAACAACAGACAGCATCAGTTCTCACCTTGGTATATGACAGGGTAAAATGCAGATTGAAACGCATAAAACAAGACAGAGAAGGACTCACCTATGCTAAAGGCCAGAGTTCCAAGGAGCATTCAGCAGTTATGAATGCACATCAGATGACACAGCAGCGACCTTGAGGGCAGGACCTGCAGGTGATTCGAGAAGAAATAGAAACATACTAATATTAGGCAATTTCACATACCACCCTCAGTCCAAGGACAGGGCAAGTGGACAAAAGGTAAATAAAAATATAAAGGACCCACCCTGGCCAGGTGGCTCGTTGGTTGGAGCATAGTCCTGTACACCAGGGGATTGCAGGTTCACTTCCCCATCAGGGCACATGCTAGGTTGTGGGTGCAATCCCCAGTCGGGGTGCATACAGGAGGCAGCTGATCGATGTTTCTGTCTCATATCAGTGTTTCTCTCTCCCTCCTTCTCTCTCTCTCCACCCTGCCCTCCTTCCTCTCTCTCTAAGATCAATAGAGGGCATATTCTCAAGTGAAGGTTTAAAAAAAAAAGATATAAAAGACCCAAACCACATAATTAATAAGGGAGATCTAGATACATTGCAAACTTTGTACCCTGATAATGAAGAATCCACTTTCTTTTCAAATTCACAAAGAACATTCACAAAATTAACCATTGATTAGGCCACAAAACATGCAGTAAATTCCATGAGGTGGAAAGAATACAAACAAGGTCCTCTGATGAGAGTGCAATAAAACTAGAAAATCCGTAACAAAACCAAAGCACAGAAGGCTTTTCTTCATGGTTTTGCAAAAGCTCTCTATGAAATAACTCTTGGGTCAAAGGGGAAATAGAAACTGAAATTGTAGCATTTCTAAATAAAATAATCGTGAAAATAATGCACATATTAAATATAAAAGAGAAAGAAGGGGAAGGGAGAGTGTGGACTGTGGTGTCAGCTCGGTCCACGATGGAATCTTAGTTCTACCACTCGTGTGTGAGTTTAAGCAAGTATCTTGTTTATCCAAATAACAACCCCAGGAAGTCGGTACTCTAATCTCTATTTCATAGACAATGAAACTTAGTTCAGAAATGAGAGTTGAAGCAAACCGTAGACCTGGGATTCAAACCCATGCCTGGCTGACCCCAAGCCCAGTTCCTTGATCATGACACCCATTGCCTCCAACTTGAGCACCTGGCAGAACAGCTCACCTGAACTGTGCACACCATGGCCAGGACTTAATGGTCCCTTGGCTGCTAAAACCTGAGACCCCATGACAAATGCCACACCATTGTGGGACTAATCCCCTTGGTTGGTGACACATGGCTACTTACAGTTAACATTAAAATCTCTAATGTTCAGTCCCTTGAAGAGAAACAGCCATAGAACAGCAGGCAGGATTGCTGCTGTTTCCGTGAAAAAGGCCACCCAGCAGGCACTGAATCCACAGGAAGATGTCACTGCTAGTGACTGTCAGTGGTTACAAGGTGTTTTTTCTTTATCCTACCTCTTAAATACCTCACTTTTCCTATTCAGCCCTTCGTCTTCACAGCCACTGCAGAGGCCAGGCTACACCCTCCCTCCTCCAGGCCAGTTGGACATCTTTCTTGCCAGGTGCTTTGGTTTTAGTTGGCTTCTTCCCCAAACCTACCGTCTACCCTGCGCCCAGCTAGCCAAGGGAGTGTGAAACCCTCCAAACCCACCCATTTGGTCAAAATGACACCCCTCCCCTTTCAGTGATGTTGGAACGCCTCGGCATTGCCTACGAAGCTCATGCGCTTCTGGGTTTTCCCCAAGTCTCCAGGCTCTCCCCGTCTGATCCTTCATGCTCCAGCGACCTTTAAACAATTCATGAACGTCCTTCCCTTGCCGTCCAGACAGCTTTCTCATTACCCTTGATGCCTCAGCCCAGGTGGGGCCCAGGTCCCACTCTACCTCGTGGGTAGATCTGTCCATGATGGCACCTTTTATGTCTGGAAGAATTTTTTTTTCTTTTCTCCATGACTATCCAGTTCTTAGAGCCATAAGACCCTTGAGTTCTGGGGCATCCCATGTTTTCATTTTAATATCCCAGCTTTCTAGAATATTGCTTGGGCACATTATGCCCCCCACCCCACCCACACACCCCATATGTAGAGTTCTCAATTGTACTCTTTAAACTTGGAACACTATTGAAAAATTCCTTTTTAGTGCATTCAGAATGAAGATTCATGCAGTTCTTATATCCATCTTCCCTCAACAGCAAGCCGTCGTGAAAAGAGCTTCTTTTGTTAAGGGGCTCACAAAAAA